TCACAGAGATCCGCCTGCCTCTGCCTCCTGAATGCTGGGATTAAAGGTGGGTGCTACCATGCCCAGCAGTTTTTTTTTATTTATTATTTTTATTTTATGTGTATGCTTGTATTGCCTGCATATAGGTAAGTACACCTGTGTCATGCAATGCCCACAGAGGACAGAAGAGGCTGTTGGATCCCCTGGAACTGGAGTTATGGACAGTTGTTAGCTGCCATGTGGGTGCTGGGATTCGAACCCAGGTCTTCTGCAAGAACAACCAGTGTTCTTAACTGCTGAGCCATCTCTCCAGCCCCCAAACCCATAGTTTTATATACACTAGGCAGGCACTCAATCAACTGATCTGTATCTCCAGCCTGAGACATTTCCTACACAACCAATTTTACATAGAAGGAAGCCAACTCAGAACAAAATAACTGGCACAAGATGACACGTGCTCAGAGCCACACCTTCCAGGAATGTCACAAGCACTCACCAGAATTACCAAAGTTGCCCCACCAGCACCAAGAAATATCAAGCTCATATAGGTCAGGAGTGTACATACCTCCCCAAACACTCAGTGATACAATGTTGATGTGAACTGTTTTCAACATGCAGAGCAACAGGTTGGCCAGGACCAGAAATCCAGATCCTGGGTCCTTCAGGTTAGCCCATCAGGCTAGGAGCTCTCTAGGGGTTCCCAGAATCCAGGCTGGAGATTTCTGCCTGTCTTCCTGATGCTAGGAAAACTCTGCCCTACTCCAAGTTCTCCTCATCCACACAGAAGTGAGCTGCCAGTGGAGCAGGTAGCAGCAATATGACCCGAGAGGCGAGGGTTCCGGTTTGGGACCAGAAACAACAGTTCAAGTCTAACTATACACACACACACACACACACACACACACACACACACACACGACTGACAGAGGCTGCTAATCTTTACCCAATATAAGATTCCTTTTCTTTTCTTTTTTTTCTTTTTGAGACAGGGTCTTCCTACAGTACCAGTTGGCCTTGAACTCACAGAGATCCATGTGCTTCTGCCTTCCGAGTGCTATGATTAAAGACGTGTCCCACCAAGCCCAGTTGAGACTCAGATAAAGACCTCATTTCCCAGTCTGCTTTTCAGCTAACTGTGGCCATGTGACTGACTATACCAGTGAATGTAGGTATACATTCGGCAACTTCTGGGCAGGGCTCAGCTAGTCAATTGATCTGTGCCTTGTGCCACTGACAGAGGTCACTCAGTGTATTTGACTAGAGCATGGGGGTGTGAAGTGGCTTCACTCACACATCTGGCATCTTAGCAGGGGCAGCTTATGTACTATGCTGAAAGTGTCAGCTAGAGCACCCACAGGTGGCATCTCCAGCATGATGGCCCCAGACACCTGGCCTTCTTACCTGGCTGCTCAGGGCTCTGAGGGGGAATATTCCAGTGATGGAGAGAGATCATGCTGGTTTGCAGCTGAGCCTCAGAAGTCCCTTAGTACCACTTCTGCATGCTCTATTTGACCTACTGTATTGGTTAAAGCTGTCCCAAGCACACCAAGGAGAAGGGACACAGACCCCAACCTCTCAAAAGGAAGGCTGTCAAAGAATTTTCAACCTTCAAAAAAGTCTTTTGAGGAACTGGAGAGATGGCTCAGTGGTTAAGAACAAATGGCTGCTCTTGCAGAGGTCCAGGGTTCGATTCCAAGCACCTACATGGCAGCTAACAACTGTCTGCAACTCCAGTTCCAGGGGATCCCATGCTCTCTTCTGACTTCTGCAAGCTTCATGACATGGGTACACTTACATACATGCAGGCAATATACACATAAAATAAAAATAATAAATAAAATATTTCTCTTAAAAGTCTTTTTATGTTGTTTCTCTGTATGATTTATGTGTATGTGTGTTTGTGCACATTTGTGTGTGAATGTGCACACATGTTATGTACATGTGTGGAGGTCAGAGGACAGCTTCAGGTCCTGGTCATCACTATCCACCCAATTTGAGAGAGGGTCTCTCTATTGGTCTGTCTTCACACACTAGGCTGGCTGGCCCGTGAGCTTCCAGGGAGTCTTCTGTCTCTGCCTCCCATCTTGCTGTAGGAGTACTGGGATTATAGATACACTACCACATCCAGCTTTTACATGGGTTCTAGGGATTCAAACCTAGGTCTTCACACTTGTGCAGCAAGTGCTTTACCCATTGAGCCATCTTCCCAAACAAAATGGGCTGGAGAGATGGCTCACCAGTTAAGATCTCTGGTTGTTCTTGCAGAAGACCTGGGTTCGAATCCCAGCTCCCACATGGTGACTAACAACCATCCATAACTCCAGTTGCAGGGGATCTGACGCCCACTTTTGTCCTCCACGGGCACTGCATGACATGGGTTCACTTACATACATGCAGGCATAATACTCATACATATAAAATAAAAATAAAAACAGTCAGGTGTGGTGGCACACACCCTTAATCCCAGAATTTGAGAGGCAGAGGCAGGCAAACTTCTGTGAGAGCGAGGCCAGCCTGATCTACATAGCAAGTCCAGGCCACTTGTAACTCACTATACAGACCAGGCTGGCCTCTATCTCAGAGATCCACCTGCCTTTGCCTCCTGAGTGCTGGAATTAAAGGTGTGCACCACTATGCTCTGTGACCACACTATCCTACTCATTATTAGCTCACTACCAAACACAAGCCTTCCATCAATATTTTCGAGAGTTCATGTTATACAAGAAGCCCACAGATGACACTCTGGATTGCTGGGGACAGAAGTGAAGCATAGAACCATGAGGCTGGTTAGGAGCTCACTGCAGTTGGGAGCTCACTACAGCTCACCTGAAGAAATGGGTGCTTTGACCAAAGAAGATTCAGTAGTGGGATGGGTGAAAGGGGAAAGAGCACTGACAGTGATGGGAAAATAAGAAGCGGGACAAAAAGCACATATGTTTCTGATCTGTAGTTGAGAGTCCTGTATTTGATGGGTAGAGGTCAGCTAGTGGAGGGAGCTAGAGGCAGAGTTGGATGGACCAAGGACAGTAAAGACACCTGCCTGTGCTTCCTGCTCCTTTGAAGTGGTGGAAGACATTCCAGTTTCTCTTCAGAGCTTGTAAATAATCTCCTTTTGCATAAGTATCAGAAGAATTAGACTCCAGGGCAGGGCCTCGGGCTAGAATGACAGACCCACACCCACCATGAGCCACTTCCCAATAAGTCATCTTGATAAGATACCTCCCCATTTTCTACTTTGTTGTCAACAAAACCATATTTTCTTCCATCCCTCATAGTTTATTGCTATTTTTGTTATTGTTGCTCTTTGTTTGAGACAGATCTGACCATGTAACTCTGGCTAACCTGAAACTCCCTTTGTAGACCAGGATAGAACTCAACAGAGATCTACCTGTCTCTGCCTCCCAAGTGCTGGGATCAAAGATGGTGGATGGGACCTGGGAGAAGTTTGGGAAGTGGTCATTGTTTGAGTAGATAGATGTGTTTACCCTAATTTGAACATCATACAATGTATGCATTTATCAAAATATCATCCAGTACCATATATATAACTGATGTATAGTTAAAAATTAGAATTAAAAACATAAGTAAACATACTAAAAATGAAAAGAAGCTGGATGTGGTGGCACTTGGGAGATGGAAGAAGGTGGAGACAAGAGGATGAGGAGTTCAAAGTTATCCTCATAGTGAATTTGAGACCAGCTTGGGATATTAGAAACCATTATCTGGAAAAACAAAACAACCATCTAGAAACAATGACAGCAAATGAAGTTTGAGATATGTGATTCCAAGCTAGGCTGAGCTGCTCCTGTCAGCCATATGACAAGTCTTTAACTTCCCCAGACCTCAGTTTCCACAAATGAAATGAGGGAATGGGAGCCACTGATCTGTGAGCGTCCTTCCAGGCTGATGTCTTATGACTATGCCATAGGTTTCCTGCAATCCCAGCACTCAGGAAGCTGAGGGAGCAAGATCATTGTGAGGCCAGCCTGATCAACAGTTAGTTCCAGGCCAGCCAGAGCTACATTGTGAAACCTTTCTCAAAAACAAAACAAAAATCACTTCACAAGTTTGAAGATTCTATGTGTAAATGCACATGATCATACCTGTGTATGCAGGTACGCCATTTCTTTTCCTGTGTTTCTGCAGCCCCTGCATGGTTCTTCCATTTTGAATCACGTTGCTACCTCTCTTTGCATGACTTAAATTTTTTTTTCAATTTATTTATTTTTATTTTATGTGTCTAAGTATTTTGCCTGCATGTATGTAAATGTACCATGTCCATCCAATGCCAGTGGAGACTAGAAGAGGGCATCAGATTACCTGGAACTGTAGTTACAGACCCCTGTTAACCACCATGTGGGTGCTGGGAACTGAACCTTGGGTCCTTTGCAAGAGCTGCCAGTGCTCTTAGTCGCTGAGCTACCTCTCCACACCCTCTTTGCCTGACTTTTGAGGGCAGGTCACATGGTTCTTTTGAAATAAGTATCACAAGTTGGTGTAGTGGCTCATACCTGTAATCTCAGCACTTTGGAGGCTAAGGAAGGAAGATCACAAGTTTGAAGCCAGTGTGGGGTACATAACAAAGCAAAACACAAACAAGCAAAAAGGATAAATAAATGTCACTTATTCTGGAGAAAGTTGAAATATAGTATCGAAAATGAAGGTATAAAAATAATTCTCTCGCCAGGCGTGGTGGCACACCCCTGTAGTCCCAGCACTTGGGAAGCAGAGGCAGGCAGATCTCTGTGAGTTCAAGGCCAGCCTGGTTTACATAGTGAGTTCCAGGACAGCTGGGGCTACAGGGAGACCCTGCTTCAAAAAGGCCGGGTGTGGTGGCACATGCCTTTAACCCCAACACTCCGGAGGCAGAGGCAGGCGGATCTTTGTGAGTTCAAGGCCAGCCTAGTCTACATAGTGAGTTCCAGAACAGCTGGGACTACAGGGAGACCCTGTCTCAAAAAGACCAAAAAATAAATAAAATAATAATAATAATAATAATAATAATAATAATAATAATTCTCTTGACTATACTTTCAGGGATCATGTCTATAATTCATAAGTAGAGAAGTTTCTCTATGTAGAGTACCAGAAACCACAAGGACTGGACATACCGTTCCCTGCTGAGCGTGAAGCTGGCTTTTGGTGTTGCTGTTTTGCAACTGCCATTTGCCATTGATGAGCATTCTTCTCTTCCTCTGGAAGATTAGAGGGAGGAATTGCAGTCAGAGTGGAAGAAAAAAAAAGAGAAAAAAAATAATTCTCATTCCTAATCTTTTTGTTGGGAGTGGAGGGGGAGGATTTTTGACACAGGATCTCACTATGTAACCCAGGCTGATCTCAATCTTGCAGCAAACTTCCTGCCTCTACCTCCCAAGTGCCTGACCCTAGCTGATCTTTAATATGGCAGGGGATGGGGGATGGGGTCTAAATTTGATTAAGAACTGTTGTATGGGACAGGGTGTGGTGGCGCATGCCTTTAATCCAAGCACTTGGGAGGCTGAGGCAGGCAGATCTCTATGAGTTCAAGGCCAGCCTGGTCTTCATAGCTAATCCAGGCCAGCCATGGCTACAGGGAGACCCTGTCTCAAAAAGACCTGTTCTATGAAATGTACAAAATCTCAATAAAAGAGATAGCACAGTGGTTAAGGGCACTTGTTCCTCTTCCAGAGGACCTGGGTTCAGTTCCCAGTACCCACATGGCAGCTAACAACTATCCATAACTCCAGTTCTAGCAGATCCAGTGCCCTCATCTGGCCTCTATGAGAATTGCACGACATCTTTACTCTCAGCACTTGGGAGGCAGAGGCAGGTGTATCTCTGTTAGATAGAGGCCAGCCTGGTCTATATAGAGAGTTCCAGGACAGCCTGTCTTGAAAACCCAAAACAACAACAACAAAAAGATGTCTAGTCAGGCGTGGTGGTGCACATCTTTAATCCCAGCACTCGGGATGCAGAGGCAGGTGGATCTCTGTGAGTTCAAGGCCAGCCTGGTCTACATAGTGACTTCCAGGACAGCTGGGCTACAGGGAGACACTGTCTCAAAAAGACCAAAAAAAAAAGGTGCCAGTGACATGGTGCTTATGTTAAGTCTGATGATCCAATTTGATCCCTGGAACCCACATTCAGTGGTATATGAATGCCTGCACACATGTGTGCATGCACATGCTCGTACACACACACACTAATAATAATAATAGCAATAATAATAATAAATTTAATTTAAACATAATGTTATGCTGGACTGAAGCAATGACTCAGCAATTAAGAGCGCTTGTTGCTCTTCCAGAGGATCCAAGTTCAATTCCCAGCAAATCATGTCAGGTACCTAACAACTGCTCCTGGTGGATTGGATGCGTCTGGTTTCTGCAGGCACTTGGACTCACATGCACACACACATACATATAATTAAAAATAAAAATAAAATCTTTAAAAAAATAAAATAGAAAGTAAAAAATAGCCAGGCATGGTGGCGCAGAGGCAAGTGGATCTCTGTGAGTTCAAGGCCAGCCTGGTCTACATAGTGAGCTCAGGTCAGCTGGGACTACAGGGAGACCCTGTCTCAAAAAGACAAAAAAAAAAAAGTGAAAATAAAAATAATGTTATCTTGAGGCTGGACAGCTGGCTTAGCAGTTAAGAGCACTGGCTACTCTTGCAGAGGACCTGGGTTGGGTTCCCAGCACCCACATGGTAGCTAACAACTGTTGTAACTCCAGTTCCAGGGTATCCAACGCCCTCTTCTGGGCTTTTCACGACATGGGTGCACTTACACATATGCAGACAAAGCACTAATACACATAATAAATAAAATGAAATAAATTTAAAATTTTTAAATGTTATTTTAAGAAGACTGGTGACCATGCCTGCAATCCCAGTAGGAGGCAGGAGATGAAGAATTCAAGGTCATTGTCAGAGAATTTGCCAGCCTTGGCTACAAATTGAGTTCAAAATCAGCCAGCCTGGGCTACATGAGACTCTGTTTCAAAACCAAAAACAAAGAAAAAGAAAGAGTATAAGTGATAAGATGGGACCGGGATATAACTCGGTGGCAAAGCACTTGTCTAGCATGTGTGAGGCCCTGGGCTTGATTCTTAGCACGAGAGAGAGAGAGAGAGAGAGAGAGAGAGAGAGAGAGAGAGAGAGAGTATTCTAAGCTCTCTATGCAGATTGATCCCTTTATTGCTCATAGCAGCTCTAAGAGTGAGATGCTTGTTTATGTCAGCCTGAAAGATAATATTGAATTGTGGATTAATTGTATTGCTGGAGGTCATATAATTAATATGCCCAAAGCCTGGGCTATGTCTGATATGTTGAGGCCCCCGGGTAGTCTGAAAGCTGTTCTATGCTGGGGGGGATAATCGCTATTGGCCCTGTCCTCACAAAGTCTGGTCCTCTAGGGTCTGAGATAACAAGCAGGAATTTGTATTTTAACCAAACACCCGGGGGGCTATTAGTGTTTGGTGTGGCCCGTGGACCACAGTTTGAAAACTCCAATTTCAATGTATCTTTTTCTAGCAGAGTTGTTCCTTTCTCTGATATCCCTCTTCCCCAAGAAATATTTTTTCAGGAGTGGGCTGGAAATGGTGCTCTGGAGCCAGACGTATGCCCCCTGGTGGTCAGAGACGGATGATCAGGAGGGCCGCCAACAGGTCCCTGGTCACCGACACAAACGCGAATTTTTTTTTCTTTCTTTAAAAAAAAAAAAAAATATTGCTGAGCGTGGTGGCGCCTTTAATCCCAGCACTTGGGAGGCAGAAGCAGGTGGATCTCTGTGAGTTCAAAGTCAGCCTGGTCTACGTAGTGAGTTCCAGGCCAGCTGGGCAACAGGGAGACCCTATCTCAAAAAGGGAAAAAAAAAGCATCCATTTGTGTTTGGGTGGGGGGAGCACATGTGTGTGCTGTGGTGCACTTTTGGAGGTCAGAGGCTAACTTGAGGAGTTAAACTCAAGTCGTCCAGCTTGGCAGCAAGTACCTTTACCCACTGAGTCATCTTGCCAAGCCGAATTTTTCTAGAATTCCATTCAGCCAATGTTACTGAGGTGCCACTACATGCCAACAGTGAACCAGTCATACAACATACCTTCCAGAAACAAAACTTCATACGACACAGTTCCTCAGGGAGGCTGCTCACCTGTTTCTAGCCACAGATACATTCATTTCAAGTTGCAGTTGAGCAAATTGAATCCAGCCCAGTAATTTATATCTTACAACACATGGCTCTAAATTTTAGGATTTTACAAAGGTGCAAAAGATGTTTTGTTTTGTTTTTTAGACAAGGTTCCATGTAGCCCAGGCTGACCTCCATCACCTGAGTGCTGGGATTACAAGCATGCACCATCATGCCTGACAAATATTTTTCCCCTTGAGATAGATTCTCACTACGTAGCCTAGGCTAACCTGGAACTCAAGGTACTCCTGCCTCAGTCTCTCGGTGTGCTAGGATTATAGGTATGCACCAGCATACCTTACATCAGACTTAAGTCATTCATTTTGAAAAAAAATAGTAATAGTTTTTAACCCAATGCAGTCGAGAAGCAAGACATATTTTAGTTCTGCACCCTTTGTGACCCAGGGACTCAAAGCTACTCTACACTATGGGTGCAAATATGTTAATAAATGTTGATAATTGATTTGACAGTATCTGCTAAAACTGAGTATATTGACCCAGTGTTTCCATTCCTGTGTACTCCCCAAACAAATGTGTATACCCCCACATTAACCCTAAACACATACAAGAATGTTTATAACAATATTGTATATAATAGCCACAAAGTGGGAAAATGCCTATGTGATTAGAAACATCAGAATGGCATTTTCATAGAACAGGAGACACAGTCATGAGCATGAACAAACCCCAGCTTCATGCAATGGCGAGGCAAAGCTCACACACCATTGCGAGAGAAACAAGGCAGACACTGAACAGCACATTTGGCATGATTTTATATATGCCTAATACAAATGGCTAAAACAACTCTGTGCTGTCAGAATGGAATCAGACCTGCCTTTAAGTGGAGAGCAGGAACTAGAGGGGCCTTAGAGGTTTCAGGAGGAGCTGCCAGTAGTTTGATCTATGTGTATGTTATAAAAACTGGTCAGATTATTTGTTCAAGATTTGTGTACTTTTTGTACTTACGTTATATTTTAAATAAAAAGTGTATCTAAAAACTGGTGGAATCTGGACATGGTGGTACTACACCTGTAATCCTAACACTCAGGATGCAAAGGCAAGGGGATCATGAGTTCAAGGCCAGCCCGACAACCCTGGGAGACCTTGACTCAAACAACAATCACCAAGCCAAATAAATAACAACAACAACAAAAAAAAAACTCAAAAAAACTCCTCTTGGTAGGGTAGGTCTCTCAGGACTAGTCACAGACTATGCTTAGGGCTCACTTATCATGAACTGAAGCCCAGAGTCACACACGGTATCAGAATTAGGAATTTAATGCCCCTCTAGGGAGGAAAGACATGGCCTCAGGCCCATGAACTAGATCCAGATTTTCTGTTAAAGCCAACAAAAGGATTGTTTTGCAGATAGGATGGATTCTAGAAAAATTACCCCATTGGGCTACAGAACACAGCATAAGAGCGAGGCATCTACCTGGAACCTGTTGGGGGAAAAGTCAGGACTCCAACACTGTACCAGTGTCAGAAGTAGAGCCTGATACTTGCTGAAAGCCCTTAGTCAAGAAATTAGTCAATGGGCTGGAGGATGGCGCAGCTGTTAAGGGCACTGGCTGTTCTGGCAGAGGACCTGGGTTTGGTTCCCAGCACCCACATGGTGGCTAACAACTATCTATAACTTCAGTTCCAGATGATCCAACACCCTTTCTGGACACTATGGCCACAGCATGCTCATGGGCCACTTACATACATGCAGATAAAATACTCATACACATAAAATAAAAATAAAATAAAAAATAAATGCTGAGGACTGATGATGCACCTTAGTGGTAAGGTGCTTGTTTAGCATGTGCAAGACCCTGGGTTTGAGTCTCAGCATAATAGGGAGATGACAGATGATAGATAGATAGATGATAGATAGATAGATAGATAGATAGCTGATAGATGTTTTACATGGCTGTTTAAAATGGCCAAAGTACATGAAGGAAGAAATTGAATCTATATAATAATGTGATACTATGGAAAAAAGTATGGGCTTGAAAAAGAACTGGGGAGACAGCTCAGTTGGTAAAGTGCTTGCCTTGCAAGCATGAGGACCTCAGTTCAATCC